GCCTTTTTGATTATGATGTCAGGGTTGTTTCTGAGGCTGGAGACCGCGTTGAGTTCAGCATGGCCGAGGTTCTGGGGCAAGTGATGTTGCTTTTCCACAATTTCAGCCTTTGCACGTCGACGGATCTATGTAGAAATCCAGTCTGTTGTTTCGACCGTCCGGAGGAGTCCACGCAGAATCCTTTTTATTGTAGTGCTGGTAGGGGGGGATTCTGTAGGTTAGTATGCTGTTCAGAGTTATGTTGGAAATATTCTTTGAGTCGGAGACGTCGAAAGTAGGATTCTAGGTCACCGCAGAACTGTATCATGTTCGTGGGTCTGGACGGAAAAAAGGAGAGGCCCCGAGATAGGACAGACTCTTCTGCTGGGCTAAGAGTATAGCTGGAAAGATTAACAATATTGCTGGGTGGGTTAAGGGAACTACTGTTGTGGCTGCTTGTGGCATGTAGCAGTTTAGATAGTTTAGTGTCCTTTTTCCTTTGTAGAGAGGCAAAGTTTGTCTTGTAAATGGCTTGTCTAGTTTTTGTAAAGTCTATCCATGAGGAAGTTTGTGTGGAAGGTTGGTTTTTTATGAGAGTATCCAGTTTTGAGAGCTCATTCTTAATTCTTAATGACCAGACACTTTAACCTGTCTGGTTATTCTATGACAGACCTGCAGGTGGCTATTTTACAACAGAAAAACTTCAAAAACAGACTCCAACGAGAGACTGCTGAGCTGGAATTGATATGCAAACTAGACACAATCAGCTCAGGATTGAATAAGGACTGGGAATGGCTGAGCCCTTACAAACATTGAATCTATCTCCCCTTGTAAGTATTCTCACACTTCTTATCAAGCTGTCTGTACTGGGCTAGCTTGATTATCACTTCAAAAGTTTTTTTCTCTTACTTAATTGGCCTCTCAGAGTTGGTAAGACAACTCCCACCTGTTCATGCTCTTTGTATGTGTGTATATATATCTCCTCAATATATGTTTCACTCTATATGCATCCGAAGAAGTGGGCTGTAGTCCACGAAAGCTTATGCTCTAATAAATTTGTTAGTCTCTAAGGTGTCATAAGTACTCCTGTTCTTTTTGCGGATACAGACTAACACGGCTGCTACTCTGAAATCTGTAAACTACCATAAAGTCCTACAACCTGTTTACTGAATCCTGAGTTTTGTATTATAGTTATTATGAGTTTCACAGAACTGTCCAAATGCCCCAGTAGGGACTGGGACTCCACTCTGCTGGGTACTATATAAACATAGTCCCTACCCGAAAGTGCTCATAAGCGAAGGATACAGTCCTGCAAATATACATGAATCACTTTACTCAGATGAGTAGTCTCACTCAATTAAATTCTATGGAAAGTCACTCAAATGTGTATTTCTAGGATTGTGCCCTAAATAATTAATCTCTATGTTTTCAAAATGATGTGTGAGGTTTTAGCTACCTAATTCCCATAGTCACTTACAGCCTCTTTCTGCTACTGCCAGTCACACTGAGTAGTACTCTTCTTCATGAGTGGACACATAACCCTGGTCTACACTATAAGTTAAGGTCGAATTTAGTAGCGTTAGATCGATTTAACCCTGCACCTGTCCACATGATGAAGCCATTTTTGTCGACTTAAAGGGGTCTTAAAATAGATTTCTGTACTCCTCCCCGACGAGGGGATTAGCGCTGAAATCGACATCGCCGGGTCGAATTTGGGGGTAGTGTTGATGCAATTTGACAGTATTGGCCTCCGGGAGCTATCCCAGGTGCTCCATTGTGACTGCTCTGGACAGCACTCTCAACTCAGATGTACTGGCCAGGAAGACAGGAAAAGCCCCGCAAACTTTTGAATTTCATTTCCTGTTTGGCCAGCGTGGCAAGCTGATCAGCACAGGTGACCATGCAGAGCTCATCAGCAGAGGTGATCATGGAGTCCCAGAATCTCAAAAGAGCTCCAGCATGGACCGAACGGGAGGTACTGGATCTGATCACTGTATGGGGAGATGAATCTGTGCTATCAGAACTCAGTTCCAAAAGACGAAATGCCAAAATATTTGAAAAAATCTCCAAGGGCATGAAGGACAGAGGCTATAACAGGGACCCGCAGCAGTGCCGCGTGAAACATAAGGCGCTCAGGCAAGCCTACCAAAAAACCAAAGAGGCAAACGGCTGTTCCGGGTCAGACCCCCAGACATGCCGCTTCTATCATAAGCTGCATGCAATTCTAGGGGGTGCCCCTACAACTACCCCATCCCTGTATGTGGACTCCTGCAAGGGAGTCTCACGCAACAGGGATGAGGATTTTGAGGACAAGGAAGATGAGGAAGAGGAGGAGGAGGTTGAAGATAGCGCACAGCAGGCAAGCGGAGAAACCGTTCTCCCCGACAGCCAGGAACTGTTTATCACCCTGGAGACATTATCCTTCCAACCCGGGCTCCCGGACCTTGAAGGCAGAGAAGGCACCTCTGGTGAGTGTACCTTTGTAAATATAATACATGGTTTAAAAGCAAGTGTGTTTAATGATTAACTTGCCATGAAGACTTGGGATGTATTTGCGGCCAGTAAAGCTACTGGAATGCAGTCAAGCAACATCCGTTCTTTATCTCTCTCGGTTATCCTCAGGAGAGTGATATCATTCATGGTCACCTGTTTGAAATAGGGGAATTTTATTAAGGGGACATTCAGAGGTAGCCGTTTCTGCTGGGCTGTGTACCCGTGGTTGAAAAGAAATCATCCCCGCTGTTAGCCACGTGGTGGGGGGAGGGGTGAAGCGATCATCCCAGAGAATTGGGTATGAGGGGAGGTTTAGTTGGGTTTGTGCTGCACGTTAACCCAAAAACCAATGCCCCTCCTTTTAAATGGCCAACCCAACTCTCCCTTTTTTTCCTCCTGCAGCTGCAAATGTTTCAACGCTCCCCCTATCATCTCCGTCCCAGAGGCTAGCGCAGATAAGAAGGCAAAAAAACGCACTTGCGATGAAATGTTCTCTGAGCTCATGCAGTCCTCCCGCACTGAAAGAGCCCAGCAGAATGCGTGGAGGCAGACAATGTCAGAGACCAAGAAAGCACAAAATGAACGCGAGGACAGGAGGGACACATGAGAGGATAGATGGCTGGAGTGAGAGGATAGATGGCGGCAGCATGATGAGAGGAGGCAGGATGCAATGCTGAGGCTACTGAAGGATCAAACTGACATGCTTCGGCGTATGGTTGAGGTGCTGGAAAGGCAGCAGGAGCACAGACTGACACTGCAGCCCCTATAACCAACCACCCTCCTCCCCAAGTTCCATAGCCTCCTCACCCAGACGCCCAAGAACGCCGGGCCGGGGGCGGGGTGCGCGGAACCCAACCACTCCGCCCCAGAGGACTGCCCAAGCAACAGAAGGCTGGCATTCAATAAGTTTTGAAGTGCAGTGTGACCTTGTCCTTCCCTCCTCCACCATCCCACCTGATGCTTCCCTCCTCCACCACCCCTCCTGGGCTACCTTGGCAGTTATCCCCCTATTTGTGTGACAAATGAATAAAGAATGCATGAATTTGAAACAACGACTTTATTGCCCCTGCAAGCGGTGATCGAAGCGGGGAGGGGAGGGTGGTTGGCTTACAGAGAAGTAGAGTCAACCAAGGGGGCGGGTTTTCATCACGGAGAAACAAACAGAACTTTCACACCATAGCCTGGCCAGTCATGAAACTGGTTTTCAAAGCTTCTCTGATGCGCAGCGCGCCCTGCTGTGCTCTTCTAACTGCACTGGTGTCGGGCTGCGCGCAATCAGCAGCCAGGCGATTTGCCTCAACCTCCCACCCTGCCATAAATGTCTCCCCCTTACTCTCACAGATATTGTGGAGCACACAGCAAGCAGTAATAACGATGGGAATATTAGTTTCGCTGAGGTCTAACCAAGTCAGTAAACTGCACCAGTGCACTTTTAAACGTCCAAATGCACATTCTACAACCATTCTGCACTTGCTCAGCCTATAGTTAAACAGCTCCTGACTAGTGTCCAGGGTGCCTGTGTATGGCTTCATGAGCCATGGCATTAAAGGGTAGGCTGGGTTCCCAAGGATAACTATAGGCATTTCAACATCCCCAACGGTTATTTTCTGGTCTGGAAAGTAAGTCCCTTGGTGCAGCCGTTCAGACAGACCAGAGTTCCTGACGATGTGAGTATCATGTACCTTTCCCGGCCATCCCACGTTGATGTTGGTGAAATGTCCCTTGTGATCCACCAGTGTTTGCAGCACCATTGAAAAGTATCCTTTTCGGTTTATGGACTAGCTGCCTTGGTGCTCCGGTGCCAAGATAGGGATACGGGTTCCGTCTATCGCCCCACCACAGTTAGGGAATCCCATTGCAGCAAAGTCATCCACTATGACCTGCACATTTCCCAGAGTCACTACCCTTGATAGCAGCAGGTCAGTGATTGCATTGGCTACTTGGATCACAGCAGCCCCCATAGTATATTTGCCCAGTCCAAATTGATGCCCGACTGACCAGTAGCTGTCTGGCATTGCAAGCTTCCAGAGGGCTATCACCACTCGCTTGTGAACTGCGAGGGCTGCTCTCATCTTGGTATTCTTGCGCTTCAGGACAGGGGAAAGCAAGTCACAAAGTTCCATGAAAGTGCCCTTACGCATGCGAAAGTTTCGCAGCCACTGGGAATCATCCCAGACCTGCAACACTATGTGGTCCCACCAGTCTGTGCTTGTTTCTTGGGCCCAGAATCGGCGTTCCACAGCATGAACCTGCCCCATTACCACCATGATGTCCAAATTGCCAGGGCCCGTGCTTTAACAGAAGTCTGTGTCCATGTCCTCATCACTCTCGTCACCACACTGCCGTCGCCTCCTCACCTGCTTTTGCAGATTCTGGTGCTGCATATACTGCAGGATAATGCGCGAGGTGTTTACAGTGCTCATAACTACCGCGGTGATCTGAGCGGACTCCATGCTTGCCGTGGTATGGCGTCTGCAGGAGAGCAAGGTGGCAGCGGAAGCATGACAATGGTTTGCAGCCCTATTGCACCGTCTGCTGCCAGAGCAAGAGAGCAGAGTGGCAGCGGAAGCTGTCGTTCAATGATGATGGTTTGCAGCTCTATTGCACAGTCTGCTGCCAGAGCAGGAGAGCAGAGTGGCAGCTGAAGTGTGATGATGGTTTGCAGCCCTTCTCCACCATCTGCTGCCAGCAGCATTCAGGACACAACAGCGGTGGCTGAGCTGAACAGGCTGCACGCTTGCCGTGATATGGCGTCTGCACGGAAAAAAGACGCGAAACAGTTGGCTGCCGTTGCTGTCACGGAGGGAGGGGTGACTGACGACATGTACCCAAAATCACCCGTGATAATGTTTTTGCCCCATCCGGCAGTGGGAGCTCAACCCAGAATTCCAATGGGTGGCGGAGACTGCGGGAACTGTAGGATAGCTACCCACAGATCAACGCTCCGAAAGTCGACGCTACCCTCGGTACTGTGGACGCACTCCGCCGACTTAATGAGCTTAGTGGGGACATACACAATCGACTGTATAAAATCGCTTCCTAAAAAACTGACTTCTATAAATTTGACCTAATTTCGTAGTGTAGACATACCCTTAGATTTCAATGAGACTACTCGTGGAGTAAGGTATTACACAACGTGAGTAATGGCAGCAAAATTGAGCTTTTGGCTATTAATGTAAATATTTCTTTGAAATTTTGAGGGCAAAACAGACCCCAGCAAGACAGGAAATTTTCTCTTTAAGACAACTAAAAAATTAAATGTGCTGATCAAAGACTCATACGAAACATCTCCCTTCAATTTCCATCTCTGCTTTCTTTAAAAGTAGTATAGGATCTTTCCAGATAAAATGCTTAGATGTTCTGCCAGTTAGTTGGTCTTGCTGACTAATTAGCAACTACAGTAATATGCAATACAGAAAGTGAAACACGGTAAGATTAAAAATATCTTCAGCAAATTTCTGTAAATTGATATAGTTGTCACAGTTATTACATGATAATGTAATACATTTATTAACAGTTATTATATTTGCATATAAAATAAATTGCATATAGCAAGTAGGAATGTGAAATTAAATTCTATGCTTACATTCTGATAACAACTAAAATTAATCATTTTAAAACAGACTGAAAACTCACAGAAAAATCACTGTCATTGTCAGTCTCAATGTTAATGTCATTGTTTTCTTCTGCTTCAATTTCTCTAGTTAACTGCTCTTCTTCTGCAATGGCACTAGCTATTGCTTCTTCATTGGCCTTTTCCAGGCGATCTGCTAACTCTTCTTTTTTAGCAAGGACTTCTGCCATAGACTGTATAGAAAATCAAAAATTAGAACTGGACCAGAAGGTTAGAAATAAGAAGTTTTCCAAATATGGATTATGTTACATTTTAAGGTCAATTTACAGTCATTTTCTATATTAGTTGTACATTTAAAGGATACATTTAATGAATTAAGAAAACAGGCTAAAATGCTAGCAGTTTCAAACTAATTAATTAAATAGCTACAAGAAAATTTCTTACAATATGATATCAAAATGAACTTCAGGAACTCTTTACAAATGAGGAATTTAATCTAGCCTCTGAATCTAGACAATACTGTTGGAAGTCTGAACTGAGTTTTAAGTGGCATCCTTGCAGATCTGCAGTATAGGAACCCAGGTAAAACACATGCTTTGGAAGCTGCAGTATTTCTGGTAGAATGACTCTGGAGAGTTCTAGAACAAGAAGTTGTTCTTTTTTTTATAAGCTGCAGTAGAACTGAATATCTACTTAGATATTTGCTGATTCGATATGGGATTCTTCATAAACCAAAAACAAGCTATGAGGACTACAAAAACTCATTACTCTCTCAATACAAAATTTGAGACCATAACTGTACTCTGCATACAGAATGGCCATTCCATGAGAGGATCAGGGACTAGCTACATGATGATGAACATAACTTGTCCTTATCTACACAGGCCAAAAAGTCATGGCCAACATTATGTCGGCTAACTCAATTATTAGAAGCCATGTTTATACTCAGTAAAATCTCCTAATGTAGGCAAAACAGGGGTAAATGGATAATTCATTCATCATGACCATTCATTCCTTGGCCCCTCTGCCAAAGCCAAGAACAAGGTGACACCTTTTATTAGAAAACGGTCTTGCATGTCAAAGGTATTTTACGTAGTATCATGAAATAAAGTCATAATTAAGATTAGCAGCTTGTTCTTGGAAGTCCTCTTGCTGCAAAGTGACATCCATGTGTGATGTTAATGGTATGGGAGATTAATGTCAGAGATTTTAAAACAGTTTCTAGCTTGCTTTATTAGACAAGAAAAAGTTCTGTTTGAACAGTACGCAACATATTTAAATTATACACAGTAAAATTATTATTCAGATTGTTACATCAGCACTAAGGCACATTTTTTTAAAGTACCAAATTGTTGAAAGGATCAGAAATAAAATATTCTTCATGCTGCTTATACTTCAAAATAAGCAAACAAAGAAAATAAAGAAAAAATTATAAGGAAATATTGTATATTGTACAAGCTCCCTGGTAAGAAATGGCCCCAAACAATATGTCAGCCATGCTTGCTAGTTGCATGGGAAGACAGAAGAGAAGGGTTGGGTTGATTTTAGTGGGAAAAGAAGTTTGACCATTCCAAATGAATTTCAATAACTCATGCTCTTCCAATCCAAGCAATTAGTGGAATTACTGTAACAATGAATGGGTAGCCTGCTTAAAATCAACAATTATGAAAGGAAGTGAAAAATCATTCTGATCATGTATCTAGAAAGAACTGGAGTTATGACTTTTGTAATCCAAACCAGTGCATTACTGTATTTTAGCCTAACTCGGATGTCTCACTGTAATCAATTCTAGGGTTGAATGTGCTTGGACATATGCAAAAAATGATTTTTTTGCCATGCTATATATATTTGGTGCTCTGTGGACTTTTTCACAACTTCTATAGTAGGCTAACATTAAATATTGTGCAAAGCAGAATGAGAAACCCAAGGCACATCTTTGTAATTTATTCAGAATTCTTGTAAATTGTCTTACCAATCTGGCAGCACTCACATTTGAAATGTCTGAGGGGTCCATTTCACTTTCTATCTTGTTTTTTAATGCTTCATGCGGTTCTTTACTACCAGAGTTCAGGGAGGGAGATTCATCAATCTGTAGACTTTCTGAAGTATGTTCAGTGTCTATGACAACTGCCGGCATTTCAGGTGTTTGTAAGCAAGAACTGTCTTGTAAAACCACATTGCCAGTGTTTCTGGTATCTTCTAGTGTGTGTGCTGTGAACTAATAAAAGACATATTTACAAAATAAGTTAGATGCAACACATTGATTTTCAAATATACTGCTTGAAAAAAAAGCTAATAAAAATACTGTACATGATGCAAGGAGTGCCGGCTTTAGTTAAAGTTGCCTGACATTTTCCATCTACTTATAACTTACAGGTTGAAAGTGCTGGCCTGAAGCTGATTTTTTTTTTTAAAGCTTTCAGCTAAAAGGCCCTTGTGTCTCCATGCTTTGGAGCAGGGATATCTAGCAGCAGGGGTCCCACTGGTGCCAGGGATGTGCCTTTTGCTATCCTCATAAAAATTAGGCCAAATTGGGCCATATTATAAGCCTCTGAAAAATCTCAGTTTGCACATGTTCCATACAGAACCCTGCCTCATTTGGTGCATAGGACAGAATGTGCTTGGTGAATAAATCAGCACTGTATAGTGAATGAGGCTGTTCTCTGCAGGATACCTGCTTCATTTGTTGAAGGAGCTGGAAGGTATGTATGTAGTAAATGAGGCAAGGAACTGCAGGAAGAAAAAGGATGGTCTCATGGTTAAAGCAATTAAATTCCATTCTGGGGAACTGGATTCTATTCCTCCCTCTGCCAAAGTTCTTATGTGATGTTGGGCAAGTCTCATAAACCAAAATTTTCACAGGTGACCACTAATGGTGTGTTCATTATATTTTTGGTACCCAAGTTGAGACACCTCAGAAGTGCTGAGAACTCACAACTGCAACTGTAGACTGCTCTAAACACTACGGGCATGGCTACATTGGAAACTTCAAAGCACTGTCGCGGGAACACTCTCACGGCAGTGCTTTGAAGTGTGAGTGTGGTCGCACGCAAGCACTGGGAGAGAGCTCTCCCAGCGCTCCTGGTAATCCACCTCCACGAGGGGATTAGCTCTGAGCGCTGGGAGCATGACTTCCAGTGTTCGGAGCCTGTCTACACTAGCGTTTTAAAGCACTCAGACTTGTTGTGCTCAGGGGGTGATTTTTCACCTCCCTGAGCCGGCAAGTTAGAGCGCTATAAAATGTAAGTGTAGACAAGCCCATAAAGTGATATAAAATGTTAAGTACTCTAAAAATCAGGGCACGGGCAGCTCAAAACCAGGGAGTTAATTCTAGGTTACAAGTCTGGGAAAACAGATGTAGAAGAGGTGACTCTGAGAAAAGAAGACAAGGATAACATGTGGAAATATAGTACAACATTCTTTTATTAAAGCCTACAATCTCCCCTCCCTTTTTCCATAAAGAGAGGAGTAAGTGAGATTTGAAGGGATGGAAATATCCCCAAAGCAGCAAAATGCAGGAACTTTTGACCTCACCAAAGTCAGTGTGGTTGCACTGCTGTATAACTAAAAGCAGAATTTGGCAGAGGGGGTATAAGATCTATTCAGTGTTAATACCTGTATATAAATAAAAGCTGGAATTTGTTATGTGGGCCCTTACCCTTCAGGGAAGAAAATGGGAGGATTGGTATAGTAGCAGATCTCCAAGGCCCTACCCCTTCCTCAACCCACCTACTTCCTGCATTCTCACAAAAAGATGGCCCCCAGAGCTGAGCTACACACATACTGTGGGTTCTCCAGAATCCTGCCACCCACTCCTTATGCAGAATGATGACACTGGTCCTTTTTCAAAAAAGACTATCCAGAATTGCAGAGGCAGGAGCAGGTATGCTTCTTTGAGTGTAACTCTGTTAAATCAGTGGGATTACGTGGGTGAATAGGAGAGCAAAATTTGGCCTCATATTGTTAAATCAACCAATATGCATACTTTAAGGATTATCGTTCTAATGACAAACATAATTTATACAATTTCGTTTATACTGGCATCAACATTATTTATATCACAGTCACTGTTGATAATATACTTATTTGCAATATTTATATTAGCTTGACTGATGTTTACAGTGTAGTCAACACTGTTTATGAGAAAATCAATAGTTATATAGCAAAATAAATGGTAATTTTATGAAATAATGTTGAAAAACACAAACATTCCCACTACAGCAAAAGACTTCAATACAACAATAGAGAAGACTGCCATACATATCTTTGTTACTAAGCTTTCCTAACAATAATATTTTAACCAAACTACACCTCTACCCCGATATAACGCGACTCGATATAACACGAATTTGGATATAACGCGGTAAAGCAGTGCTCTGAGGGGCAAGGGGGGGGCAGGGCTGCGCTCTCCGGCAGATCAAAGCAAGTTCGATATAACGCGGTTTCACCTATAACGCGGTAAGATTTTTTGCTCCCGAGGACAGCGTTATATCGGGGTAGAGGTGTATATTGACCAGTAAATTATTTCCACCAACATTACTACTATTACAAATGATATTATTACATGAACTTCTAGCAAAGCACATTCCCTTTGACTGCACTGTAATATCTACGCACCTAGGGTTTTATACCATGCTCATACAACAGTTCATTTTCACACAAAGGATTAACTTTATGGCCAGATTTTGCCAGGCCCTCGCACAGACACAAAAACGAGAGGAATAGCTCAGTGGTTTGAGCATTGGCCTGCTAAACCCAGGGTTGTGAGTTCAATCCTTGAGGGGGCCACTTGGGGATCTGGGGCAAAATCAGTACTTGGTCCTGCTAGTGAAGGCAGGGGGCTGGACTCGATGACCTTTCAAGGTCCCTTCCAGTTCTAGGAGATGGGATATCTCCATTAATTAATTATTAGGAAGCAAGGGATTCTCCCACTCCTTTGCTATTTCTATCCCCTCCCTGCATGGAAAACAGGTAAAATTGCAATCCTGTCACTTTGGTGATAACGCATATTTTTAGAATACAGAGACTGTTATCTGCTTGCGCCCCCCATAGGATTCTAGTCACCACCAGAGGAAGTGGGGAGGGGCCACAATAAGTGTCAAAGGATATATCCCTTATACCACCCCTTCAACATCATCCATCAGAGATGTCAGCCACAAAGGGAAGATTAGGCTTCACTCCTCTAAAGAGAGTTGCAAGGGACATACTCCATGTGCCAGGGAACTCCAGGAGGCATTGTAGCTCTGAACCACCCCTAACATGGGCATGTAGCGTTGACGGCATAATCAGGCACTCATTGTACATAAGTGAATAGAGATAATTTTTCTGATGTACTTTAGTTTTTAATATTTGGTTGTCTGCGCTAGGAGCTATTGTAAAGCCAAATTTGATTTTATACTTTGAAAAACATTAAAACATTTTGGTTATTCTTGCAACAAATAATGTGTCCAATCCTGCAGGTCTTGTGGGTGAGCAGATCCACTGACTTCAACTAAGATGCCTACTACCATACTACCACGCCCAGTTATTTTTCTAGACACTGTAAAATATATGTTGCATCTCTATCTGATAAGAGTTTTTTATCACTGTCAGTTTACGTCGCCACCTTAATGTTATTCACAATGTAGTTTGTGTATATTAATCATAATAAAAAGGATCTGATAAAAGTTCCAAGTACACCTCTACCCTGATATAACGCGACCCGATATAACATGAATTCAGATATAACGCGATAAAGCAGTGCTCCCGGGAGGGGCGGGGCGGCGCACTCCAGTGGATCAAAGCAAGTTCGATATAACGCGGTTTCACCTATAACACGGTAAGATTTTTTGGCTCCCGAGGACAGCATTATATCGAGGTAGAGGTGTATTTTAAAACCTTTCAGTCAGGTTAAAGAATAAGCCACTGGACATGACAACCGTGATTAATGTTTCTATATAAACATTAGCAAAATATTACAATAATAAAAACAAAAAAATGTTTCCAAATTACACTTACCTGAGTCCTTTCAGCAAGAGGATGCTCACTCAGATATAAAGAATCTTTCTGCAGAGGTTCTGTATTTTTGGATGCACTATCTCCATCGAATGAATTCTTCTGTTTACTTTCTGATTGTCTGAAGACTACATTTTCTTTGTCACTGTCATCTTTAGCTCTTAGCAATTCTGCAGCTACAGGAGTTTTTGTTGCTACAGCTGTAGATCGAGATCGAACAGGCCTTCCACGCTGAACTGTTTCCCATCCTTCTGCATCCTTCCGTTCTACACAAGGAAACAAAAACACCCCACCAAGAAATAGCTTTATAAATACAATTTTGCAAAGCCACAATTAGCAATTTTATTGTCTAAATTGTTCTTGCACAACAAGAACACCTTTTCTCTTTAAAAATATATGGAAACCTATTAGACACTGTTCACGAATAATTTTCCTTCCAAGGGACACTATCGGTTTAAAAATCCTGGGCCCCATCCTGCAAACTCCTACATACATACTTTACTAGTGGGAGTAGTTCCATTGACTTCCAAGGGGCTACTTTCATGAGCCAAGTTACTCATGAACATAAGGGTTTGTACTTCTTTTTTTTTTTTTTTATATGTACACATACTTTTTAACAATAGATTTTCTTATCTATTTTGCATTTCGCTCAAATTGGATCATAAAAATACACTATTTAGTGTCAATTTCCAGATAATTTCACTTTCTGAGTGTCATGAAATAGCAAAATGCTGCTAAGTTTGGGTTGCAAATTGAAGGGGAAGTTTATTTATTTAGTAGAGCAGTTTCCATTGATTTTTTTTTTAATTTCATGGAAATGTGTCTATTGATCACAGGTTTTATACAAGCTCAATGTTAAATAATTATACAAGCTCAATATTAAATAATAAACTGTACTGATTCAGTCTGGATCCCGTCAATAACTGCTAAATAAGAATAATACCATCATCCCCAGGTCAGAGTTTTCTGACAGATTCTGTCCTGGGGAACATCTGAAAGGTCTTTAAAGTTAATGTCCCTAAATATTTGCAGGATAAGCCTTACTCAGCCAGACTTTATAGGATTTGTACCTACAGAGAAGAACATACAACATTACCATTATTTCCAACACTTAACAGCAAATGAGTTCTCACAAAGTTTATGAAAGACTCATTATTAAAGCTTCCACCAATCCTTTTGCTTTCAAAGGTAAACTGAAGGAAATCTTTTTTTGTGAACTTGGACTGTTTAGCATATAAGTATACTGTATACTGGCAGATGGTCTGCACTCTAATGGACATGAGTATGTATGATCTATAAAATCCATTCAGGAACAAGGAAATTTATTCCAGGAGAAGCTATTTGAAAATAAAACCCTTTTGTCCTTTTTAAAGTTTGCCATTGTTCTTTGAATTTTGCCCTCTATTGTTACATTTAACCAACAGACTATGTGGAAAGTGTATAAATAGTGTTGGCTTTTCAAAAAAAAAAAAAATCTAGGAAATAGATACATTTAGTACTTTTAATAATCTTTCACCTTGCTGGGCTTTATATCATTCTCTAGTGACCAAGACCCCTATTCTGCAAACACTTAACTTATTTGCTTAATTTTATGCATGCAAGAAGTTCCACCGATATCGAGGGGCCTACTCATGTGTGTAAGAGTAAACATGCCCAGGTGGTCACAGAAAAAGACTCAAAAAAGAACTACCACAAAAAAGGAATCTTAAATTGAACATAGTTCTTTAATTTAAAAAATATAAATTAAATTGATACTTTTACAATACTCCGTGTTAGAGAAAGAGCACAAATTAGCAAAGAATCTTAAAACGTAGTCCTTAAAAAAAAAGTATGACAAAATAAGTAACAGAGAAGCCTAATCTGTACTCTCTTGGATTTTAGTTTTCAGAATATTTAGTTTTTCATCCTTTATGAACACTATGATTAATCATTTTATTTTAAAACGGGAAAGAAAAACACTCTTTCAAAAGCTTCCTTGTACAAAGAAATACCATTTCGAGCTTGGAGTTAATCCATTAACCAAGGGAATGGCCAACACAAACACTATTATCTAGTAAAATATTGAAAAAATACAAGAAAATAGTAAAAAGAAGAGCATCTCAATATAAGAATAAACTTAGAACTCAAAGAAACTAAGGGATTAACTATGGACAATATTTTATTATATATCTTTGGTATAAACTGTTTTGAAGAACCATTCCAATAAAAAATGGAAAGGTCTGTAAGAAAGAATGTTTGTCATGACTGAGAGCAAATCATAGAAATGAAACTGACAAAAAACCGCTCAGTTCTGTGAGAGACTAAGTTTAACATAGTATAGCCAGCATATAAACAACTCTTATGATCAAGGTATCTCAAAGCCTTTTACAACAGGAAAGTTGGTCATGTGATTAAGGCAAAAAGACTGAGAGTCAGGATATCTGAGTCAAAGTTTCCAAACTTAGGTGGTTTCATAACTTACTTATGCCGTTATTGATTACTTGCAAAAAAAACCAACCAGGGGTACTGGTTAAATTATCATTTGATGGCGTGCATATAAGGGATAATTACAGAACAGGATGACTGATACATTATGACGAATTGCATATTACTCTTGAAGATTTTGGTAATGTTTGAATTATTGGTATCTGATATATAAAATAAATATATAAGTCTTTAAAAATATATTGGGTGCATTATTATGCTCTTTGAAAAATCTTGTGCCCCTCTGGCAGCCAGACTCACATTGTATCCAGGCTTCAGGAGGAACTGGATCAGCTTTAAGTATTGGTGATCAGACAACCATTTGGGAAGATGAGGGTATCAGACGCCTGTTCCCCTTGTATGACACATTTTTTTGCTTTAAACAAAGTTACAATATATAGGGCTGTCTTGGCTTGATCTCCATTTTTGTTTTCCAGAATCCTTTGTGCCTCCAACTCAGAAGCACCACTGTAAACCAGTACAAGGGCCCTGGCACCAAATCCTGTAAAGCATTAAGTTTAGTGCCAGTGCACCTAGGGATTGTACTACAAAGTGTTGCAATGCTACAGTCTGGGGATTTCCAACAACGACAGAGGTTGCATAAAACAGAACGTTACCGGCTTATTCTACTTCCATTAACTTCAATGGGAGCTGAATTGGGTCCAACTTCATTGGGAGGCAAACAAACTTGGAATTGGATACAAAACAAAGCAGTGTAAATTGCATATTTATTCTTTGCCACCCTTCAGTACCTAACATTTTGTAATTACTGGGGACTTAATCTAGTTATCTTTTTTCCCCATTTTGTACAGAAAAACAAATATGTGGAAATGCTGGAGTAGATAGTCAATGAAGTCAATGGAACTATAGGGATATTTACATCAGCTGACTGTCCCCATTTTTGTTTTTAAATAGATCAAATGTATAGATACTGTAATTCAAACAGCTGTTAATGATAATTCCATGGTCACAATTAGCAGAAAAATGAAATGTTATGATCTGTTAAATATTATCAAAGCTGATAATGTAAGATAGCTGCAATAAGAACAATCGAATATTTACAAATCAAACTGCTTTACATTACTTCAGAGAACCCATTATCTGCAAACTGGTCGCAGACATTTTTAACACAAGCCACAAAACTTTGTGCGAGTGATTCTGCAAGGGGCTTTTTCTGTTTGTTGACAGCAGCCAAAGACAGTATACCTCCGCAGAAGCCCTGTGCTTATTCCTCCAAAATATACTTAACTAAGATGAGAGTGTGCCTCTGGTTAGAGTTATGGAGACTTGAAGTTAAGAGATCTGGGTTCTATTTCTTGCTTTGCCGCAGACTTACCATATGATCTCAAGCAAGCTATTTAATCTATCTGTGCCTCAGTTTCTCTGTCTCTAAAATGAATTTATCTAATAGTGTTATTACCAGATCAGGATTACAGTATCTTTTCTGCTGGAACTTACTGATAGCAGGAAAATTTCTTCACAGATCATGAAAAAAATTCTGCTGACTTATAACTCATGCAACTACAATGACCTTAAAAGATGTAAATCAGGATAGTCCTGGACACCAGGTCTTCCCTTTATGGCAATAACATTTAAGGAATTGTAGAGTCTGATCCAAAGCCTACTGAAGTCAATTAAAATGTTTGACTTCAATGGATTTCGATCAGGATGGATCAGGAATGTAGTTCACAGGAGTGTTGTGAGGCCTAATTATTGATTGAAAGCACTTTGAGATCCTGGAATGAAAGGTACTATGTAAATACTATGCATTAATTAACTATTATTATAATCATTCCATTATTAATATAAAGAGATGAGAGAGGAGTCGAACCCCAACAGGAGTCCTCAATGTCCTCCACTAAGGTCTGCAAGGGATGAAAAAAGTATACGCCATAAAGTTATCCGTGCTAATGTCAAATAAAACAACAAGAAAGTTCAAACATAAAGATGAGTTGGAAAGATAGAGGGAAAATTAGTTAACCCTACAATTATGTTCTAAATGCTGCAAAAGCAAACATAGGAAAGACATTCAGCACATAAATTATTCCAAAATTAACTTAAAAAAAAAATCTTTTTAAGTCATGTGAAGTCCTGCTGGCTGCATATAAATCACCATGATACTGAAAAAAATACATCATTGTGGGACAAAAGAGCAATCAGAAACTCTACAAGCACAATGGAAGTGGCCAAAAAGGGATCAGATAAATGGCAGATTTTAAGTATGTCATGCAGTTTTGAAAAGTTTCAATAATATTATTTTCTATCCCCTATATATAAAATAAAAACAAAACAAAAATGTTTTAAAGTTCACCTTTAAAAAAAATAAGGAAGGACAAGGCACTAAAAGAGTTTTAGATAGAATTTCTTTACACTCAGAGTACCTTATATCCACTGACATGCTTTATTTGATGAGGCTCTTCCAATATAAATATACCTTTATAACAACATTCTGCTGATTTATTTATTAGGTACAGATGTGAAAGTGGAGCTTTATACTAGACATCTGACACCCATTCATGAGCTCAAAAGTTTATTTTTTAAATCTTTTTCAATTTTAATTTACCCATCACCATCTTATGTTCTCAACCACTGCAAACAATGCTATTTTAACACAAATTTTGCAGTGCTAATATCTTCATTGACATTAGCTCACTTGGCTTTTGATCTTGAGCAAAATTAACACTAACCAAGGTATTATCCCTGGTGCGTAACAATTGTTTTCAGAAGTCTTGAATTATTTTCACAGAGCACACTAGCCATTCTCCACATGCTAAGTATCACATGCTGGATTTGGTTACTTGCC